TAGCAGCCTTCACCTACCTGAAGGGCAGGGGAGTGTTTCAAAGAGGACGGAGCTGGCCTGTTCTCAGCGGTGGCAGATGGCAGAACAAGGAGCAATGGGCTCAAGTTGCAGCAAGGGAAGTTTAAGTTAGATATTAGGAAGAATTTTCTCACTAGGCGGCTAGTCAAACACTGGAGCAAGTTCCCCAGAGAGGTGGTGGACTCTCCATCTCTGGAGATTTTTAAGACCTTTGGCTGGGATGATCTAGGTGGGGCTTGTCCTGCTTTAAGCAAGGGGTTGGACTAGATGTGACCTCCTGAGGTCCCTTCCAACCCTCATTTTCTGTGATGGTCCCCCCGCTACCCTGTACAACAACAAGGACCTGCTCTGTGCAGACAGCAAATTACAGATCCTTCTGCCCTGGCGCTGAGAGAGGTAGGAACAAGGCATGTGGCAAAATGAGCAAGCCAGAGCTCTGGGTCTTTTTCCAGCCTCCTTCCTAAGAGCAGGTTTCAGCCGGACATGCTAGGGTTAATTTCTGCAAACGTGTAAGCCACCCGGTCTCCTGCAGAAGTCATTTCCCTGCCCTGGGGGAAAGCCGGGCCTGGGTGGGAGAAGCAGAAGAGATTTTGTCATTATCCATTCCCCCCTCCCCATTGCAGCAACCAGTATGGGCAAAAATATTACGATTCCAGTGCAGGTGGCTCCAGGCTTGTATCCTTATGCACCGCCGCATCCCACTCCTGGAGGGAATAATTTGCGGTCCCTTAGGTAGGGAGTGAAGCTGAGTATCCAGTGTGTGTGGCCACCACTCGGTTTGGACACTGCTGTTTCCAGGCTAAGCACCAGCACAGAGGAAAGGTGTTTGCCCATTTGGGGTCACTGTCCGCATGCTCCTGCGCGTGGGGGTGGAGGGGGATGGTGTAGGAACACATCTACTGATGCTGCATTTCTCTTAGGATGAGCCCACTGCTCTGGAGGGAAGCCTGACTTTTTGGGTAATCCAGCCGGCCCTGCAGGAGCCTCCTTTGGCTCGACCTGCGAGCTCCCCCTGCCGGGATGCTGGAGCTGATCGGCCCTGCCTCCCCAGCCTCCTGGCCTCTGCAGAGGAGAGCAGATGTTTCCCTGGCTGGCTGGCTGTAACAGAGCCTTTCTCAAGGGATTTTCTCCCCAGGAAACAAGATTTCCTTTATCTTCCCCGGGCAATTCTGCACCGTCCGCTCACCCCTCTCAAGGGGGCCTTCATGGAAGCCCTTTAAGGAGGGCACAAAGCCACCTTCACCCTCCCATTAGCGGAGGAGCCCCAATCTGCTCCAAAAGGGGCTTCCCTCTGCCTCGGGCCAGGCTTCAGACTGCTCCAGCTCTGCCGCGGGCTGGGTTGCGACTGCCAGAGCATCCTTCCCCATCAGTCAAGTGGGCACCAAGCGGCTTGTGGCACCGAGCGCCGCCACAAAAGGGGGCTGCTCTGTGTGTAGTGAAGCGTGGCTTTCCTTGGGCCCTGCAGGCTCCTCCTCTGCCCTGGGGACTGGCCCCCACTGCCAGCCGCTTAGCAGCCCCCTGCGTTCCCTGACACCTCTGGGACTTCAGCAAGGCAGTCTTCACGCTTGACACTAGCCCGCAGCGCCGTGCTGTCACTGCGAGCCAGTCCTCTTCGGCTGCCAACCAGGTTGGCTTCCCTGCAGGGGCAGGAGCATAGCGGTCCGGCTCCTGCAGAGTCTGCTCCGCAGCCCGCCGGTCACTTCAGGGAATGGGGAGAGCCCTCTGCATGGGACTGCCTGTAGAAAGCCAGCAGCCTTTTTCCCGGCTGGTCTCTGTGCCTCCTGGAAGCGTGCCGCAAGCACGTCCAGCATTGAACAGGAGAGCGAGCCCTGCTCCATCCTCATGTGCCCTTTCTCCTTCCTGATTCCAGCCCCTGCAGCCTTCTTGCTTTGAATTGCATAGGCTCGGGGTCTGGGTGAGGTCCCAGCCAAAACTCAGCTCCTGTGTCCTCCCTTCAAATTGCCCATTACCATTTCTGAGTGGGAGCTTGCTAATGCTGCAGCTTCATCGCTTCGCACCCCACCCTACAGCCTTCATTGGTTGCATGCTGCTGTTTCTCGCCTTATAATGGTGGCAACTGAATGCCGAGGGAGTATTTAATGTGATGCTCCAGTCCCAGAACAAAGCTCCTGCTGGTGAGCCTGCACGTGGAGCGTCTTTCAAGATCCCCTTTCTCTCCGCTTTCTGTTTGGTAGCAGGGGAGGGCCTTTACGTACAGCTCTGTAGATAAGGTGGGTCTGTGCCCAGCTGAAAAAGCTGAGCTCCACCTAACATAGCTGGTTCCTTTTCCCCTTATCAGTCATGCCACTTTGAAAGGCAGCGTCATTCCCAGGAAGTGGTCTGGGCAGTAGTTTCTGTTTGAGCCATTCTTGTCTGCAGAGGATGCCTTGCTTGTGCTGTTTGGCCATTTTGGTGAAAGCAGCTATGTTGTGCTGCTTTTACCAGAGAGATCAAACCGTGCAGTTTACCAGACAGGTAAATCGGCACGCAAGGAAATGCTTGAGAGGTTCTGGAGTATCAATATGTGGGATGGAGGAAGATCAGGCCCCTTAGCAGCGTGGTAGGTTTCTTCCTACCGTGTGGTTGACAGGCACTTAAGCGTCCCAGCCTCAAGTTGTTCCTCTCCCGTTGGGCTCAGTGCTTTGGTGACGGACTCCTTCAATCTACTCTTTGCAGCTGTCTAGGTAAAGAAAGGCAGGTGGGTGCGTTTTACCTAGATGAGAAAATTGCTCCTTAAGGGAAGAGGTGCTGTTTGAGCCCCAGGTTCATTGCATTCCCTAACAGAAAGATCTCTACTCTTGGACTGATTGTCTGTGATCTTTCATTTGATCTCTAGTCACCTCTTTCTCTCCTTTTTATATGTAGTGACTATTTTTGCACTTGCTCCCAAGTCCAGATCCTGCCCATGGCAAGATGCGGTTGGGCTTTTTCCCCAGCCCCTCTGCATTCAGGAGAGACCTACGTGGTCTCAGCCCATCTACACGCTGAAAATTGCAGGGTGCAGGGTCAGATTTACTGTCCCGGTGTGGCTGGTGGGTGACAGTCACTGCTCCCAGTGAGTTATGACTCCTGTCCAGCATGGTAGATCCATCACAAAACGGCAGAACTAGCTTTCTTGCATGTCACAGTTTGGGGTTTTTTTGTTTGGTTTTCTTCTTGGTAAAATCCCCAGCTTCCTTCCTCCTCCACCCTGTTCTTAACTAGCTAATGGTCTAGAGCCGTATGACTTGGCGTGTGGGATTCCCTTGCTTTTTCCATGTCGGGCAGGAGGGAATATTAAAAGGAACCCAAATGTCTCACTGATATTCCCCCAAACCAGCTGGGGGTTCAGTTCAAATTACAATCGCTCTGGCCTGTCTCACTTACGGGCAGGGGCATTTCAGCAAATGGGTTGATAGGGGGAGCTCTCCAAGCCCTTTCAAAAAGGCTTGTTTTGCCTCTCCTGCTGGATGGGGATAGGAATATATTTGGGCTCTGACTGCTGCTTCCCACAGCAGCGGGTGCATCCCAGCGGAGGCAAGAGCTGTTCTTGTCGCGCTATGGTAGCGTCGGTGATGTAAGCACTGTTGACGCAAGGGAGATCTATTTACACAATCATCTAAACTAAACACGGAAGATTGACAGGCGGCTGTTTCTCTTCTAATCTCTGTGGCTACGTCTATCTGCATCACACTTAAAAAAATAAATAAAATAAAATAAAAATAAAAATAAAAAAAAAAACCCTCTTACTTTATTTACATTGCACTCAAGTTTCCGTAGCACAAAAGATTTGCAGGTGCAAATATGTCCTGCCTTCATTAACTTTCCCTCCCTTTTTAATTTATGTGATTTCAATTTTCCTTCCCTGTACTGTTAATTAGGAGACCCTCTAATCAGTACCATTATCACAGTGGTATTCATGTTTAGGAAAGCTGCTAAACAAATGCTTGCAAAATTGCTAAATGGCTAATTAATGTCTGTTAATTAAGAAAATTGCTCATGGTAACAAACCATGCCATTGCTGGCAGCAGCTAGAAGGCGAACACTTGTTGAAATTAGTAACGTGGCAGGTATAGAACATCTGCTCCTGAGCTTTTCCTGGAGTGTGTGTGGCTGCTTCGCATAACGTACTTACAAGGCTTATTTGCTTTCTGTACCAATTACAAATGCTTTGACTTGAAAAATTTTTTTTTTTTTTTGCATGAACATATGCATCAGTCTTCCTGCTGAGAGCTTACATTTTTCCGAACAAACTTTCATGTCATGCTTTTTTGGAGGGGCAGGAAAAAAAACTGGGTGTTCAACCCCCAAATGTCAGAAACTGCTGCATTGCAGTGTTAAAACCTACACGAACTAATCTTTCTTTTTTCCCCAGACATGTTCAGTATTGCTTAACTCAAAAGAAACTTTACTTGCATCATTAGGTAATTCATCTTGGGGAAGGATATTGCATCTTTAAAGGGTAACAATACAGCCCTGCATGTAGAAACGGTTCAGAGCCATGCCATCCATTTCTTGGAGACAAACCAGGTTTCCAGTTGAACATTTCTGGTACACAGAATGGGCTGGACTTTCAAGTGCCATTTCATTTGCCTCCCCACTAGTGTTAATATCTCATATTTAACCCGTGAAGCCCCAAGCTGAAAGGAAGCCCTGAAATGTGTTTCCAAGCTGCAGGAACATGGGGGAGGGTATAGCAAAACTTCTCCCCTTGACCCTCCCTTGAACACACTCCATGAAAGTGTATGCCTGTGCATTGATCACTGCAGGCGGGTTGAAATCTAAACAGTTGACTGTAACCTAGCTGGTATGCATTGACAGATGTTCTATTTTTTTTTTCTTTTTGCATATTGCATTGATTCCTTTAGTTACAACTGCATAGAAACTTAAGCTGAAGCGAAAGCTGGCTTCCCTACAAACAGATCCACCAGTAAATCCTTTTTAGCTCTTTCTGCGCTTTCATGTGCTAATCTATAACCTCCTTCTACTGTCTGACCTCACAGGGACCACCTGGTTCTCAGCCCTCGCCACACGCACAGCCTCCACCTCACAATCCTAACAGCATGATGGGACCCCACAGTCAGGTAAAGACACTAGAAATCTGCAGGGCTGTGAAATGGGACTGGTGTTCTGCTTTGCTCTTGAAGCGTATTGGGGCCAGATCAGTAGCTGGGGTAATGGGCAGCGCTCCTCTGATTTCTAATGGAGTGTTGCTGGTTACTGTCAGTGGCAAAGTCTGGCCAGTCTGTATTGGTTCAGCATCACCCCAGGCCCAATATGAAATGCTTGTTTCCTCCCAATTTGTCGACAATGGATGAAAAGGCCATTCTTAAATTCCAGCATAAATCTGCTTCCCCCATGGTCGCCTGAGATTTTTTGTTAATTGGAATTGGGTTTTTAAATGCAATTTGCAGCACTGATGTAAATACCTGATTGAAAGTGCTTGGTTTTGGTACTTAGCATTGGGGGGTGGGGGTGGGCTCTGTGCTTCATTTACCAGTCTCTCTCTCTCTCTCTCTTTCCCACCCCCCTTTTCTCTCTCTGTCTCTCTCTCTCTCTTTAACCTGGAAAATGTCTAATGTTTAGGGTTTCCCATGCACTGATTTTAACAGCCTGGTATAGCACTGTTGAAGTATGTTTAAACGATCTCTCCGTCCAAAATAGATCCGTGAAAATGAACAAAAAGATTTTCTGACTCTTTTTGTTTGTTTGTTTGTTTTTTCCCAACTTCTTTTTAAAAAGGGATTGCTCCAGGAAAAACGTGTAGAGTCTACCCAGAGTTTGTGTGGAATGCAGTATTTCTCTTTTATCTCCCTGTGACAAGTACGTCCTATCGCTAAACCCATTTCCTATCATTACAGCCTTTCATGTCACCACGATATGCAGGAGGTCCCCGACCCCCCATCAGAATGGGAAACCAGGTATTGTATTTTCTTACTCTCTTCCTGGTGTTGAAATTGGGTGTCTTGGAACTGGAGCTTTTTTATGGCAGGAACAGGAGGCCTCTAGAGAGCTAAAAGTTTTCTGGGGGGTGGGGGGGATGTATTTGAATAGTAGATGCTACAAAAAATATATATTAACGTAGAGTATTTGCTCTCTTTCTTTGGGCTTTCTTAAGGCGTTGGCTCTCAAGTAACCATTTGCTGATGAAAAGACAGTCAAATGCAGTACATGTCATGACCAGATGTAGGAAATGTTCCCGTGGCTGCTGACCCCTTGGTACCTGCCCTGGGAGTTTCCAACATAGTCCACGTTCTGAAATCTTTAGTGCCCCAGCGTTTTACTTGCTTGTCGTTGGCCTGCGCCACCTCTCATGACTTCAGCTGATTGTGTTGTGATGCTGCTGGTGATGGGCGACAGCTAGCTTATGTTGTAAATTTTGCCTGGGATCTCAGCAAATTCAAGTGGGTAGATGATCTTGCCGTTCGGCAGGAGAAATGGTTCATTGGAATGCTTAGATCAGCATCAGGGTTAAGTGGGGCAGGTCACTTCTGCATTTTTTCTTAGGTTTATGCTCTTTCCTTATCCCAGCTTAAACAATAAGGGCTTGTTCATATCATTATGATCATAGCTTGGTTATGGGCAGTTGTTTTAAGATTGTAGCATTTAATTGTTGTAATTTATCCTGTCGAGAGGCATGCCAGGTAAATGTGTGCTAAGAAGCCAAATGCTTCCCTTGGTTTATTTTAGCAAAAAGTAGTTTGTGTGTTCCCTTTCAGCACACGTAATATTTTGGAAATTAAGTTGGTAACTATTTTTCTATTCTGTTAATGTGTATTCTGCCTTTTTCCAAAGTTACACTTTATAAAATAAAAGGATTTTTTTTTTTTTTAGTGGGACGGATAAACAAGTCAGTTGAATACAAGCGTTTTTTTTCTAAGAGCAAGGCAGTGGAACTCTTAAAGCTCATCTGTATTGGTTTTATTTGGTGTGCTTAAGTATCAGTTTATTTCTGGTTTCTCTGCTTAACTGCCTGATCTTTGAGAGAGGAAGTCTCTTGTACAACCGACAAGCTTGTTTTTCAGAAAATTTTACTAGGGAAAATTTGCTCTTCGGTTTCTAGGTTCACAAAGATAAATGTGAACTATTTTACCAAGTAGCAAATAAACTTCTTGCAATGTGTGCATCAGTGTAACCATAATTCCAAACCTTGTGCTATCTGGAAATAAGAGTCAAATCAGTCTCTGCCTGGTTAAAGTAAGTAGGAGAAGGGTATGTTTCTAATGGGGCAAAGGTTGAGGGAGCTGATAAGTAGAAAGGGAGGATTTGAGGGGCATACTTTCTCTTGCCATCATTCACTACCCAACATGTTTCCCTGGCTTTGCTAGGGGGTTTGCTGCCTCATTGAAATCTCATAGTGCTGTCCTGAGTCTTGGCAGGACACAAAAATGATCTGTCTCTAGGATAGGAGGCTCCTTAAGTGGCTCTGTGTAATTTTTAGAGTAGCTTACTACTGCGGACCTGACCTGGTGAGCACTAGCACTGCATACTGGGGAAAATGGATTGGGATCAAGTGGCAGAAAAGACCTGCCTTGGAGATGTAAAACCAGCGAGGTGGTCAGCAGTTTTGAAGCCCTGCCCAGACCATTCCCAAAGTTGCACAGCCTGAGAATAGCTGCCCTCCGTTTCTCACTTGCTCCTGTGCCCATACATAAGCGTAGGCAAGCACATCCCAGTTTTCCTTGGAAAGCCATCTAGGTGAATAGGTTCTGCACTTCCTTTGAGTCCCTTTAAGTGGGCACCGATTATGTATTAACGAGCTCTTGTTTTGGAACCATGCTGAGCTTACTTTTCCTGTTTTCAAAGATACTGAAGAGATCAAGTTACATTCAAGCCACAAGAACAGTCAAAATGGGAAGGTTTCTAAAAGATACGCCCCGACGCTGAAAGTGAAATGGTTTAGGGCCAGAAGTGAAGCCAGTGACCAAGTCTGCCTTTTCCAGGCCTAGTGAAATACAGAATATTGATGCTTTTTTAAAACACAGTTTCCCAGCATCCCTTTAAAAGGGGCTTTCAAGAGGCTGAAAGTCCTGCTGATGAAGCACGGACAGCAGAGGGACAGTGCAGGACGACGTGTTAATCTTGTCCGTGCCCGCGTTGTGCAGAGCACGTGCGCTCGCAGCCCGCCTCGCGTTTTATCAAATAAAGGTTGAGATGGAGCCGTGCTTTCATTCAGCCTCAACAAGCCAGACAAACTTGTGAATGGGGATTTTAAAGGATATTTTTAAGTGTGCAATTTCACAGTCCTGATGCTACCTTTTTTTTTTTCCCCCCTGTTCTCTAGCATAAGGTCGTTAGGAAGATAAAATAAATTGAACTTTAAAACAGGAAAGCTGCATTCAGAAGCATAGATCTGCATGTACACAGAGCTTAGTTAGGTTATGGGCTTAAATCCAGAAGTGTCAAAAAGAGAAAACAAGAAGTGAAGCAGTAAAGAGTGGCTGGAAAACATGCAAATGTCCATGGGAACCAAAATGTTTGTTTATTTAATAGCTTTCCTGCTTCTGTACATCTGTAGCGTAAGATTTGGAATTAAAACCTGCTTTCTCATGGCACTGATGGATTTTGACTTGGCCTGCTGCAGCTCACCCACTGCTCACTGGAAAGTCTCTAAATTTTGTTTGAACAGCAGGATTTATTTCTTGTTGGTATTCAAATAACAAGCAACAGTGTTTCAAAATTGTTTACAGTTTGCTTCCCCAAGGCAGATGGTATCTGCCTGGGTTTTTTTTCCTCCCCCCTTTATCTGCACTGAGCTGTTCATGGAAGTCATCTTTTGAACTTTAAATAGATTTGTTGTCCAAGCAGAGCATGAGTTTGAAGAAAGAAGTAGCCGATATTATGAATATTGGAGCACGGGAGTGAACCTGCGTTTTTAATACTCCCAAGCACATCTTCATAATCTATTCAGTCAGAATTGTAAATGTGATCTTTGCAGATGAAACGCCCCTTCTCCACTAGCAAATAAATAACTTTGAATACATTGACATAGCCTATTTGCCGAGCATCTACCTTGAAATTGCACTGTTGTCAGACTCACTCCCAGACAGCAAAATTGGTGCCCCGGCTACAGGCCTGCTTATAAAAGGGAGTTTGATATGTGATGGGAAATGCAGTAGTTTAAAGGGAATAGAAGAAACTGGCTTTTTTTTTTTTAAGCTGTATATGAAACCAAGTAGAAAGGTTACAAAAGCTAAATTAGGTGTGTTACAGGAATTTATGGAGAGGTCATTGGGGATAAGTATACAGATGGGTGCTGGTAGGAGCTTTTTTTATGGCTGTGTAATACTGTGGCAAGAAAGTCGGAGTTTCCCAGAAAATGTATCCAATCACTTGCACCTCTCAAAAGCTTTAAGTGTTGAGTTTAATCAATACTATATTTACATTATATGGATTTACATTGAATTAAATGGAAGATTTAGTGTTGTAACTGCATAGCTGCAAGTTTGGGTTGTTTTATTCCCCTCCCTTTTTATTTCAATTTTTCCAGCCTCCAGGGGCTGTTCCTGGGACACAGCCATTGCTGCCCAATTCGATGGATCCGACACGACAACAAGGTAAAGAGGAGCCTGGAGGCTTGTGAGACTCTCTAGTTTGGCTCATTGGCTTATAAGTCAAATGGCATTCTCCTTCCATGTGACCTTGTTGCTTCTACTCCTGCCAGGGCATCCTAACATGGGAGGACCGATGCAGCGGATGAATCCTCCAAGAGGGATGGGCCCCATGGGTCCCGGTCCACAGGTAAACCTTAGCAGAACATTTGTTCTTCTGTCCAGTGCCAAACAACATCTTCCGACCTTGTTCTAGGTAAACATCATCAACACAACCTCCTGGGGCTTCGAAGGCCAGGAGCACTTCTACCCATGTATCCCCCATTAGCACTAATGCACTGTCCATTAGCGCATTGCATCTGGAAATCCCACCTCCCACCACTGGTTTGTCTTCCAAGCTGAATCTCCTCATTAGGGACACCACCGAACCCCGTTTCAGTGTTTAGCCAAAAGGAACAATGCTCTTTAGCCGTGATCGCAGAGCAGTGTTAAATGCATTATCCAACTTGCCTTGGCAATGTTTGTGATACCCAGGGCAGGAAGAAGGGATGTCTACATAAAAGTTTTGGAAGTACATACCATTAATAGACAGATAGCTTCCTCTGCCCATTATTTTTGCTCTTACTTGATTTTGTAAACAGTTTTAGTTCCCTGGCATTGAAGCTGCTCTTTGTGTCGTGGGGTGGGGGGGAGGCTGATGCTTGCCAATCCCACCCCCCCAACTTAACTGAATGCTGTAGTTTTGGGGGTTTTCCCTGGGGAAAAATTTGCAGAGTAGTCACTCACCTGTCTGCTCATGAGCCTCAGAAAAGCTGTCACCTTGTCTCTATTTTTTCCAGGTCTGTTTCAGAAGCTCTTGTCTGTGTTAAAGGCATTTCAGGAAACTTTAAACCCTTACGCTCTTTGGCAGTAGTAGTTCAGCATCTACGTTATTTCTAAGGATGGTTGATTTCTAAGCACAAGTTAGCAAAGCCGTGCTTAGTGTCCTGTAGCATGAATGGCAGCACAATGGGAAGCAAAGCTCTTTTTCCCGTTGCTCCTAAGCGAAGCCAAATCCTTCTTCAGTTGCATTCCTACCAGGGATGAGGGAGCCAGTCCAGCAAGAAGCAAAATCTGAACAAAGTAGATCCGGGTTAATATATTCTGTCTTTGTGTTGATTCATTTCAGCAGTTGAATTCTGCTACTATGTTGACTCGCTCCTGTTTGTTCCTTGTGATGGATTTAAGCAGCGGTCTCCTATCTAGAGCATGGGTCTCGGGAGTGGCTCACGTTGAGTGCTGGAATTTGATTCTGCCGTAAATAAGTGTGCGCGAGACTGTTGCATCAAATGGGTAAAGGGAGTTAAGAAATTAGTCAGCCTAGGAAAACCTGAAAACTGCTAAAGAAGAAAAGTGAAACAAGGAAAAGTTGCAGCCGTCTCCTTGGGCACAGGCTAGAACCACCTCAGAAACTCTTGCAAGCTCTTTTGTAGGCAAGTTAAGATGCCAGTAGTTTTTGGTATAAGTTGTAAAGGTCTGGGACTGTCAGGAACTGCTCGGCTCTTAATGGTCCCTCATGAATGATTATAAAAGCCTACATCTGTTATGGTTGCATCAGCCAAGGAAGGAGGGCCACAGACAGTCTGGAGGCGCCCTGCAGTTTGGGCAAAGGTGTTTGCATCCATTTAAAAGATTGTCATGAGACTTGCAAGCAATTAAGGTCACGCAGGTCTGCCAGGTAGAGGGGGCAGAAAAAGCTGTGAAATGTTAAGCCTTTATTTTTTTTGTTATAACATTCCCTGTCTGCACATGTTAGTGTGTGGTTTATTTAATTGTCCTTTTAGAAGAAGCCTAAGTACATAAGTGGGCATAAAATCCCCTTGCCTTGTTGTTGGTACACTTTGGAGTTTTTCTGAAATGCTGTAGAATCAAGCACTCAGAAGCTTCAGTGCATGCAAGAAATGATCGAAAATATTGACCAAAAATCACTGGTTTTGTTGTGTGCAATAGATCATTGTCCACCACTTGGTACGCCTAGTACTTTCCCCAGCTAGTTTCTTCTCATTAACTGGAAAGCTTTGCACTATACAGCATTACCTTCTAAAATATGACTTAAGTTTATTCCAAATGAAATCATAATAGTCAACCCAAGATCACCTGGCAGCACTGTGCTACCTGCCTGTTTTTCACTCAAACCAGTTGTCTTTTACAACCTAACATAATGTTTTAAATTCTCACTTCCTGTCTCCTTTTCTTTAATGAGCATAGTTTTAACTCTGCATTTATTCATGCAGCCAAGGTTAGATTTGTCAGAGCTTGTATTTAAACACTATTTCAAGGGTTTATAATTCCCCAGCTTTACTATACATGTCGTTCTAGCTTGACTGTGCAGCTGCTTAGCACAACTACAGTGGGTTTTCCCCCTTTTAAAATGGCTTCCTCTGTTCTCTGTCAAACTCAACTGGAGCCCTGGGCTGGATCTGGACTGTGGGGCTCTGGAGAGGCCAGATTCAGCCTGGAGCAGCTGCTGTGGTGGCAGCTGTGGGTCTGGCAGCAGCAAAGGATCCAAATGTAGAGGTCCCCCTTGATGGGTAAGAGGTCTGGGAGTTGACAGTGAGTCAATCTTGCCACTGATGGCCATGTCCAGTAGGGTCAAAGGGCCCCAAATGCCATGGCACACATTCCTCCGCCAACTTAAGTGGCCTGTCAGTAGCCCAGCAAACCAAATAGGGGCTTCATTGGCTGGATTCACCCATGGGCCTTATGTTTAGGGTATGACCATATTATTTTTAAGGAAATCCAGGACACTACCCCCCTCCCCCTAGTCAACAGTGCTGCTACAGGCAGGTAGGCATGCGGGACGCAGTCCGGAGCAGCACAGAGAACTGGGTGGGCAGGTGGACAGGCACCACTGCGGCTGTGCAGGAGCACAGCGGGCAGACTGGAGCAGATACCACCCTGCCCGCACGTGCCCAGCCCAGCTCCTGAGCAGCAGTGGGGGGCAGGCTGGGCTGGGCATCACTTTTTTCCACCTGCCTTGCTTCTGCACAGCAGCACCAGTGCCTGCCTGCCCTCCTGCCTGCCTGGTGCACCATGCTGCTCTGCCTCCCCCCGAGACTGTCTGTGTAGCTCTGAGACTTTTTTTGTTTCATTTTTCACCGACCAGCCAGACCGGCCTACAAAATCTGGGGCTGTCCCAGCCAAACCAAGATGTAAGGTGACCCTACTTCTGTTTAATACCCCGGCTTATGACTTGGGAGTGTTTTTCTTTGGGGGTACCCTTTTCCTCTTCCTACCCTGATATAGTAATGCATTTCATGTGCTTAATTCCAGTTTATGTCCATTGGACTTCAATGTATGCCTGACATTAACCTTATATTTCAGTGCTTTGCTGAAGTGGGACATTATAAGGGCCCATGTCCATACAGTACCACCCTGGTAACTGTTCATCTTTGTTCGGGAAAGAGAGGTGCCCTATCAGGACTTCAGGAAGAGGTTGCAGCAGTCCAGAAAAGGGCAGTTCTTTGGGGCTGTGAAGGAAAAGGGGGAATTGTAGAGCAAGTCAAGGTCCAGGAGGGGAAGGTGGAGTTAAAACAAAGACGTCTTGACACAGAGGGGATTACCTGGCAGTTTCTCTGTCTGGGGAGGCACACGCATATTGCCCCTCTTCTCAAACAGGCAAATCCCCAGCATTTTTTTCAAATGGTTGCTCTGAGCTTCTTGGCATGAGCAGGGAGGGCAACGTGCATTTCACTGAAAACGTTTTTTGCTGCTGTTCATTGGGATCGTGCATGAACATTGGCACAGTTTGCCCCTGGTGTGGGCTGCTGATATCTTTGTCTTTGTCTTGCTCTAAAGTCTGGGATGTTAGTTGGGGCGGTTCACTCACCGTATGGGTAAATGATGTGTTTTTCAATCTGAATCAGCCCAGCAGGCCTGTCATGAGTATGGACTTAACTGAATCTGCTTGGTAAGGAAGAAATTCAGTGGGTGGACAGGAACAATGTGGGAAGGTTGATCTACACCATGAATGATGCTCCCAGGCACTGTGTGATTTGGGAACCGACCTATAGAGGCAAAGAAGTGTGGTCTCTTAGGACTCTCCCTGTAAGCCACAGCATCTTGGAGCTTGGTCTTCCAGTAGAGATGTCCTTACAGAATTGGATGCTCTTGGCAACCGTGCCGTAGGCAAAATAAGCATTTATGTGGGAGATTTCTTAAACACCTGAAGATGGACTCAGTAATTTATGTTGCTTTTTCACTTCTTTCCCCATACTTTTGGGCCTTGTGCTGAAACGGCAGCACGTTTTTCTTCTCCTTGGTATAGAGAGATTGGAGTTGATGATTCGTTGATGCGATCTCTCGCATGATACCTAATGGGGGGTCTGCTCGGTATGTGTGTTTCCCCTGTACACCCGTGCGTGCGTGTGTCTGTCCCAAGTACACAGTGTTCTGTGGTGACTTGAAGACCAGCCTTGTTTTTTTCACTTAGGATGCAAGTAGGGTGGCAGGCTGCTTTTCCTTCTTTAGGAAGCTGCTTCGAACGCTTGTGCTGTTGGCATCCTCTTCTGCTTGACATGCCATCACTTTCTCATTACACCATAGCAAGAATTTCTTCAAGCAGCAACTCTCTCCTTCTCTGCATCTTTCCCTCTGATGAGCGAGGGGATGTCATTTTCCCCATCTCTGCCCATGGATTGATTTGCTTACAGGAGTTGGAATCTTTCCCCCTCCCTAATCGTGGGGCCAGGGGCATCCTCTTTCTTCCCCAGTATCCTTGGGCCATCTCGGGGCCAGGCAGTGGTCTAGGTTTGAACAATCCTCTCTGCTCCCGTCTGCATTTTCTACAGTGTCCGAGAAGCCGTCCACCCTCAGTATTCCTTAGTGGCCCACGATGTCTTGCCGAGAGTCACAGAAAAGATACCACTGTCCTGTTTATTTTTACAGTTGCTAATTGCTTATATGTTCATCATCATCTAATTTTTTTTTGATTAAAGTTCATTTTCACAAACTAACCCTCTTGTTTTTGTTTGTTTGTTTTTTCCCTTCTCTTTTCTTCTCCGGTTTCCCTTCTCGTTATGGTAGACTGATCCTTGGTTATCATTGCAGAACTATGGCGGCGGAATGAGACCTCCACCCAACTCTTTAGGCCCTGGCATGCCTGGAATTAACATGTAAGGCAAATCCTTGATACTATAACTTGTGTTTGTGGCTCTGACTCTCGCGGTGGGATGCGCTATGGACTCCCACTTCTACATTGTTGTTATGCTGCACCCAGTCTGATGTATATCAAAAGCTTATTTTTTTTCTCTTTTCAACTTAAATTCTAGGGGCCCAGGTGCTGGAAGACCATGGCCCAATCCCAGCAGTGCTAATTCAGTAAGTTTCTGTCTCTATCCACATTGGCCTAGAGCAGTGGTGCTCACCTGTGGAGCTGCGTCATCTGCCTACAGGGCTGCCCACAGATCCGGAAATTTGATGGCTGCTCCCCCGCTGCCAGATTTCCGGACCCATGGGGAGCTTTGTGAGCATGGTGACATTGCCCTGCTTACTGAATCACCAGCCCACAGTGGAGCTGATGTGCAGGGTCACCCTGTGGCTGAATCTGGTGTGCGGGGTTGGGACAGGGGACAGCCAGATCCGGCATGTGGGATTGGGCTGGTGTGCGGCCAGATGTGGCACGCTAGATGGGCCCTGCAGGGGGGTCAGGCTGATGTGCTGCCGGGTCCAATGAATGGGATCAGGTCAGTGCATGGAATTACACCTGCATGTGGGATCTGGCCCATGCCATGCATCTGGCCCACAGACCCAGAAGGTTGAGAGCACCACTGGCTTAGAGCACCCTATAAAATGTGGCTTCCTTTCTATATCTTTACTCTACTATCTATACTATTTACTATTCTATATCTAAACTCTACTCTTGCTCAACCTCTTTCCTAAAAGCCTCCTCCTAAGAACTTAGCTAGTCTACAGGTATTGCATGGAAGTGGCTGGATGCTGAAACCTGGACAGTTAGGGTTACAGTGGGTTCGAACAGGGCCGAGCGCCGAAGGCATCATGCAGCACCCTTCATGCCATACAGTGCTTCCTATCATGGGAGTGTCAGCCAACGAATCCAGCTAAGGAAATAATACTAGGTTACATGCCACTTCCATTCACCCGACCACTGCTGCAGCATGTCTACAGTTCAACTCTATCCTGGTTGTAATCCATTCCTTAGCTGGCTTTCCAGCCACTGTCTTTGTGATTCAGGGAAGGGGTATGAGGATTTGCAACACTTCGCCCACGTCGGGGAGGGACCTGGGGGAATAGCACAGGGAGAAGGAGGGAGGCAGCATCTTCCTGCAAGCCCCTAGTCATTTGGGAACTCCAGATGTTGGACATAGCAGAAAACACCCACAGCCTTGCTCTCACATCGTTAATTTTCTTTGTCTCTTGTATGCTACCGATCATGAGGTTTAGGGGGGCACCTGGGTAAGCAAATGATTGCGTGGCAGCACATTAAGTGTATCATGGGCATCTATGAGCTGCTGGAATTCAGTTTAATTTGTGCTTCTGTTGGATGAAAATGGGGCGTGGGCACAGGAGTTCAAGGTGTGTGGCTGACAGTGCTTTGGGGAGATGCTGTATTTTAGATACTCACCTCTGTCCTATGATCTGTGTTTAGATTCCATACTCCTCTTCATCGCCTGGTACATATGTGGTAAGTTCACTGATTTACTTGTCTGATTTAGATCATGAGCATCAAATCTCTTCACACCCACATGAGTTTATTGACTTAACCAGCCCGGAGTGAGTTAGATTCCCTTACGAAGTTACCCCCCTTTTATCCCAGGGTTGATGGGGAATTTTGAGCGGATTCAGGAACCGTGAAATGCAGGACCGACCTTTCTTGGGGTGCGGAGGAGGGGAGAACAAATGTGCTTTCAGTTGCCAGAACAATGTCCTTCTCCCATGAGGTTTTAAAGTGCTGCCCTACATGTGGTGGCAAATACATTCTCATACATGCACACGTACCCTCCCCACGGACGCTTGCCAGTTCGGAAAGCCAAAAAAAAAAATCGTGATTTTTCTTAAGGCTTAAATAAAGAATTGTACCTTGGCTACGAGAGTGCATCAAAGGTTTTAGCAGGAGATTAATGGTTGGCTGAATACCAAGGTGAGGCATTCCTGCTGACAGCAGCAGGATCTTGCTGACCTATTGCAGTGTGTGTTATCACAGTGGTTTCTGATGTGTGTTTAATCTTGTCTACAGGGGCCCCCTGGTGGTGGAGGCCCTCCCGGGACACCTATCATGCCTAGTCCTGCAGGTAATATTCAACAGCCATTCAATTCAGCCCTTATTTAAAAAAAAAAAAAAAAAAAAAAA